CGTGTAGTTCAAAGTAACACAATCGTCCTGGGAGATGATGAAAAATTACAGCTAATCAATATGAAAGGAAGTTAGAACAGAGCCAGTTTCCTCATCTGGAAAATGAAAGTAAAGGGCACTAGGTCTCCAGGCAGTGCTAAGGGCTAAAGACCAATGCCAAGGACTCCATCAGGCCTCATTAAGTCCTAATAAACATTCACTCCCCTCTCTGTAACTCAGGCTTGGAAGAAACCACGCCTACCTCCTCCTTATCACTGTCACCTGCGTTAGTTTCCAGTGACCCTTCTGGAGGCTGGCCCCGCAGCTGGTGGGAAGCATTTCTTTCGCGCGCTCAGAGAGCTCTGGATACACCCAGAGTCAAGGGAAGTACGGACAGAGATGGCACCGAGAGAGGAATCAGGCAACGCCAGCACAGTTTTAACAAGGCAAAGTGAGATCTGAACCAGGCTGTCAGGACAGGGAGGTCGCCTGTGCTGGCATTTCCTTCCTGATGCCACTGGCCCAAAGGAGGCAGCTGCCAATACCTGAGAGCCAGCCCGCTGGGGGAGGAAATGCGAAGGAAGAACATCTCCTGCGACCGCACGAGAAAGCAGTCCTGACAAAGCCAAGTGCTCAGAGGGCTGGCTGCCAGGGGCCCGGATGTCCAAAGTCAACACAGCTGTAACTCCCCGACAAAGCACGTGGTTTGGAACTAGTCAGGAAAAGGGTGTGTCCGTGGCACTGGCCGACTCACCAGGTCGCTGCTGACCAGGAAGGCTGAAAGGTCTACCAGGACCCACGTGGGGATCATAAAGAAGACAGCGTGGCAGCCCAAGATGTTCAGCAGCCGCAGATGGTGGATCCGCGAGTCTCTCAATACCTGCAAAGAGAAAACCTCTTTAAAGGCCAATTGAAACTAAAAATGGCAAGAAAGGCTCCAGTTACCCAGGCCCCAGACACAGTGACTACACATTAGCCCTGACAGCTGACCTTGACCACCAAACCTACCAGTGCACCTACGATGAGACACACAGCCTGTGCCCAAGACAAATATGAAGGACTGAGAATGAAAAAAACCAACACTCAATACTGGCGAAGCTGCAGTGAAACAGGCACTCTGAAATTCTACTGGTTTATGTCTAAATCAGCTTATGTATGTTCCAGAATGCAACCAGGCAAAGTCTGTCAGCAGCCACAAATATCTCATATACTCTGACCCAACAATGGTCAGCCTACGTGAGGAAATAACCCGAGACACAGAAAAACTGCGTGCACAAAAATGTTCATTACTGTGTGACTTAAAATGAAGAGTTGGAAAATGGCTGCGTTCCCTGTGGTCCTGGAAAAGAGTATTATTACGGGACTTAGAGCAATAGTTTGTTCTTAAATACTTATTTTTGAGAGAGCGCAAGTGGGAGAGAGGCAGAGAGAGGGACAGAAGATCCGACACGGGCTCTGCACCGACAGGCTGACAGCAGCAAGCCCGAGGTGGGGCTCGAACTCATGAACTGTGAGATCGTGACCTGAGCTGAAGTCGGATGCTCAACTGACTGAGCCACCCAGGTGGCCCTAGAGCAGTCATCTTTAATGATATGGGAGAATGCTGTAATGGTAAACGAAAATTTACTAATTTTCAAAGTTACTAATTTTGCTTTTCAAAAGCACAATTCTAAAATGTATCTATAATATTACAACTCTAAAAACTGTACAGAAAAGACCCCTAGCACTGACAGCAGTTCTCTGTGGGGCACCTGGGTGGCTCCGTTGGTTATGCGTTGGATTCTGGCTCCAGTCATGATCTCATGGTTCGTGAGTTCGAGCCCCATGTCAGGCTCTGTGCTGACAGCTCGGAGCCTGGAGACTGCTTTGAATTCTGTGTCTCCTCTCTCTCTCTCAAAAATAATAAACATTAAACAAACAAACAAAAAACAGTAGTTCTTTAGGGGGACTGTGACTTTTACTCAATAGCATGGAAACCCCCAGACAGGGGGCAGGTCTCTGCTGATTAGCATCTCCAGTACCCACTATGGAGCCAGACATAAGTTTCTGGATTTTGGGGGGAGGACCCTTTCTCTATATTTCCTCATTGAATATATGCTAATGTTATAAAAGGAAACAAATTACTTAGAAAAATGAAACAGATACAAAACCAGTAGAAGGGCAACAGTTCTGTTTGTTTCAACTCGGGGGCGGGGGGGGGGAACCCTCTCCTTGACCACTTTCTCACATGCCGCCCGCGTGCGCCCGCAAACCCCCCAGGCATATCCCAGCCGGTACCCAGATACCTTTTTGGAGAAAATATTCTGAAGTGAGAAGCACAGTGTGGCAGCAAGGGCGCTGATGAGCCCCCACATGTCGAATGACAATTCAGTGACGGTGGCCAGCAGGACGCCGCTGATGATGGGGATGAGTGACAAGTAGACCTGCTGGGACGGACAGGTGGCGCTGACGGCGGGGGCGGAGCCAGGCTGCCCCCCCCCCCCCCTACCCCGGGGCCTGGAGGAGAGCCTCGGCGGCTGCTCTCCCTCCCTCACCGAAGGGAACGGCCAGCTTTACAAGGCCTAGTGTGTGCAGCAGTTCCTGAGCTCTGGCGGCTAAAGGGCTCCAAACTTCCAGAGAAGTGGGATCCATTTCTGACATCTAGCTAACCCTTTTCCTACAAAGGACACTTTAAAGCACTGCAAAAATTTTAGGAGGTGGTGGTAAGGCCCTCTCCACCACCCCTGGAGGCTAGAGCGAGGGCTCGGGACTGGGGGACCAGAATTCCTGCTCCCCCGCTGCTGGCTGTGGGCCTCAGGCTATTTGAGTCTCCCCTCTCCCTGTAAGTCCGATTTCTTCCCCTGAGATCGAGAATGACAATTACCTGCCTTATCTGTCTCATAGGGTGGGTCCACACATACCCTGTCTCTATCATTAGTCTTTGCCTAGGCCATTCCTCAGTCCTTCCTCACTGCGGAAGGTGGCGGCTCCTTGCCCAAGCTGGGTACAATGTCCCGACCAACAGGGAAACCTGATAAACACGATGTGATATCCAGTGGTGAAGCTGCACACCTCCCAGGCAACTCCAGCCCAGGGAGACAAGTCACACCTGACATCACCCTGGGGGCGGGCTATAGAGCACACCCAGGTCTTACAGAGAAAAAGAGGCTGAAACAAAATAATCAGCCAGAAGTGGCCCAATTTCTATAAGCCGATCCAGGGCACCGGCCGCTTTGAGTTACATAAAGTACGAGATGCCAGAAACCAACCACATAGAGAAGCAGCGCTCTGTCCAGCATGAAATGGATTCCAGCTGGGACGACAGGAGTCGCACTTCCCCTTAAGGCCATGGAGCAAGGCCGTCTCTGGCTGAAGCCACAGCTTCTCTCACGCCAAGCCAGGAAATACCCAGCCCTGGCATCTTAAACAGACACTGGATTGTGCCCAAAGCATCTTCCTTATGCAGCTCGAGGCTCTGCGGCTTGCTTTCATTTCCATTCCCAGACACTCACAATTCCTGGTTGTTTTTACTTCTAAGACTTTGTCGGATTTTGCCAGAATCAGACTCTTTTGACTAGCACCTCACTTCTGACCTCCAGAAGTCCCCATCCTGACTGCGGTCACCTGCGAAGACGTGAAACTCTGTCAGAGTTCCAGCAAGGCGTCAGATATTGCATCCCCGGCCTCCCCTGGAGGGGCATGTGGTGCCTGGCCAGGATGGGACCAAATCACTGCCCACTAGCAAACACAGGAGGGAAGCTGGGCCTGCGAAGGACGGGAGGGTCCCCAAGACCACACGGCAGCGACGACTCGGGGACACACGCACCACACACCACTGCCTCCAAAGAGATTACAGAACATTAGTAAAACAGCCACCCGAAGCCTCTAAGCGGACTTCCTGATTTGACAGGAAGCCAGGAGCCGCAACCACGTCACCAGCTGGGCACCGGCCAGCAAGCCCTTGGGGCCCCCACCTGCCCAGAACCCTCCCAGGTTACCTTGGTGCTTTGCTTCTCCTTCATGATGATCCGGGACAAGAGAACCACCCAGATGGGCATGGTAGCCTTGACTGCAAAGAGAGGCAAGGGGCTCTCAGGGGGCCGTCTTAGACGTGGAACCCACCCCGGGACCCCGTCCCATCTCCACTAGAGCAATGCAGCCCTTCAAGCCTCCTCAGCCCTTCTCTTTCTGTGGGGCTTTCCGCCCTGCTCAGCTCCCAGCTCTCTTCCCAGCCACTTCCCTCCCCCAGACCCCTGTGCGAGCCCCTCCCCTGCTAAATGTCTCGTTGGCCCCCAGAGCCTTCCCAACAGAAATTGGCTCCTCAGCCTGGTATCCCAGGCCCGTCGGGCCGCAGCCCCGCCGGCGCACTCCTACCCGGCCGCCGCCCCCCAGGCCGGCCGCTGCACCCACCAGTGTGCGCGTAGGACACCGGCACCTTCCAGATGCTGACGTGCGCTGACACGGACGCGAAGTACTTGCCGAAGGCGAGTGGCAGCACGTAGCGCGGGTAGAAGCGCGGCGGCAGCAGCGGGCCGGGAGACGCATGCGGGCCGGGCCCGGGGCCCGAGACGGGCGGCGCGGGGGGCACGCGCCAGGCGCGCAGCAGCGGCGGGAGCCCCGCGCACAGCGCCAGGATGTGGCACAGCGACACGGTCACAGGGAACGGGAAGGCGCTCAGGATCACCTTGTTGACCACGTTACCGCCCGCGCTCAACGCATACCACAGTAGGCACAGCGCCGCCACCCGCGCGCCCTCGCGCGCCCCGCCGCCGCCGCCCGCCGCTCCCGGGCCCCCCGCGCCCGCCGCCGCCGCCGCCATCCCGCCCAAGCGGCCACCTCTTCCCGCCCGTCCGACTGCCCGACGCCGGGCGGGGGCGGGGCAGAGGGAGGCGGGCGCGCTGGCCAACGGCGCTCTCCATTGGTCGCCGCTGCCTCGCGTCACCGCCTCGCGCCGGCCGACGCGCCTGCCACCACGTAGCGGGCGCAGGCCCCGCCCCTCGGGTGGGCTTCCGGCAGGGCTAGGCCTATCCCGGAAGCGGAAGGAGACGACGCGGACCCGAGCCCAGCCGGGATTCCCCGGCGGTGGGTTGGCCTAGGGGACCCCGAGCCACGTCTCGAATTGAATGGGCAGGAGCGCAAGGGCCCTTTCGCGTCACCGTCTGTGATCGCACCATCGAGCCCGGGGATCCAACCTCGATGTCCACGCTATGTCGGCTCCCTCCAGCCAGATTCCTAATGGGCAGGCGGCAGTGGCGGCGGACAGCATGGATAAAAGACCAGACCTTCCCTGAAAAGAAACCAAACTGTGAACGCTTTCCATAAGCTTTTTTTTTTCTTGCAAAAACACGGGAGCGGACTCCCCTCGCCGGACTCCGACAGAAGGACAAGCCTGGAGCGCCCGGTGTCTGGGAGCTCGTTCTGGGAATCACTGCGACGTGCGCTGCGCGGTAGGTATTACCCCATCTCCTCTTCTCAGAATGACAGATCGAAGCCCAGAGAAGGGAGGCGACTTGGCTCAGGTCCCCCGGCCAATTCGGTAGCTGTGGCCGTGGTAGACTACCGGGACACCTGTCTCCAGAGCTCTTGCCGGAGGGAGAGGTGCCAGGCCCCGACTGATGCCCAAGGCCGGGATCGAGCAGCCCCAGACCCCAGCAGAGGAAAACAGGATGGTGTTTTCGGCAAGGTGTTCCTATACTAAAAGACTGATTTGTGTTCCAAACACCATGTACTGACAAACTTTGGGGTGGGGATGGGGGGTTAAGATGTCCTTTTACAGCGTCCTTACTTGGCAGATTATAAACTGGCAAACCAATGATTTCTCCTATGAGAGGAAAACCTTAGCTTAACTGTGTTCCGGAAAGAAGGCAGTATCTTTGTCCTGGGCTTACCGGGTCCCTGCAGGTGGGCGCAGGGAGCAGGGACCCACCTAAAGCCCAGATCTGAGAAAGGGAAATGCTGCTCAGATGCCAGCCTGTATCCTAGTATGCCTCCAGCCGTGCCTGTGACCCTTTGTCACACAATAAACCACTTCCTGGGGAAGTCCACACAGCAAGGCTGGCCCACATTACAGGCACAGCGGACTTGGGAAAGTAACTAGTTAGTGCCTAGCAAACAGTTCTGACGTGGCTTTTTTTTTTTTTTTTTTTTAAAGCTTAAACTCTTACCATTTAACTTGGTCCTCACAGCTCTGGGGTGAGCACGTTCATCTCCCACGTGTGGACACGTATATGGGGTGATTAGCAGAGAGCCACACAGCGGATAGATTGCAGGTCCAGAGTTCAGCCTCCAACTGTCCTCAGAGCCACTTCATCCATCCACTGCCCTGATCTCTGGGTGGGTGTGTCCTGCACCAGGGCCAGGTCCTAGATCCCTGTGGCTCAGGGTTGACTCCACGTTCCCTGACCCCTCATTCTGCCCTGTGGGACTGTTGCCCCCTAAGGGGAGGCGGCCTCCTCATCTGTGAAACGAAATAGGTACGCACAACATGACCTATTCCGGAGTGAAAAAACTTGAAAACCAAAGTTTTAGATTATGGCTTCAGGGATGAGGGAGAAGAAGGAAATAGTATCACTTTATAGTCAAGGCAAAAGAGTTACTTTTAAAAATAGCACCGGCAGCACCAGCAGCTACTAAGGCCCAGGCCTGCATGGGGAGCTGGTAGCCTGGCACCAGAGCCAAGGGTGACAGTGCCAGAGATGGCTCTGGGCCAGGCCCTGTGAGAACCGCAGCGTTTTGTGGGGTAAGATGAGGTTGCTGAGACCTGGGACACAGAACCTCTCTGGGGGGGCTTCTCTGGGGCAGGTGCGGTCTGGACAGAGACGGGGTGACATTCCTGCATGTGGAACTTTGGTCTCTGGCACCCCATACTAGCAGGTGACCCCGGAGGTGGGACAAGGCAACAAACGGGCCCAATGAGTGAAAAGCAGGTGGAGGTCACTTTCCGTGCAGAAGGCTAACGGGCCAATTTCGCCTTGGCCCCGCACCCGGCTGTGCAGCCCAAACCTCAGACACAGGGTCCACGTATTCGCAAATCCAGAAAGGCCGATCCGGCTGTACCAAATTAGTAACGACTCTGAGACTGGTTTGTGCAAATGGTTTTTTTTTTTTTATTTCCACATTTATATCACAAGTTGTCCACTTACTGGACCAAATAGCAAAGTTGCTCCCTTCTGTGTCCTGAGAACACAGAAGTCTAGGTACTGTACATTCACTAAGGCTCCTTGTTTTTGCAAATCGCGTTTATGACAAATAACCATAAGGCAAACGAATCTAAAGGAATGGTTATGAGTGTTTCCAGCGCACAGACAGGTCTCCTCTTACCCAGCAGTACAGCTTACACACCAGTAGCACCCGCGGTGACTTTTGTGTTTTGGGGGGGAGGGGACTCTGGGAAGGTGAACTTTTCAAGACATGTGCAGGAAGGGGAAAATGAAAGGGGAGAAAGAAAGGAAACTTATTTGGCTGATGGTCACATGGAAGAGGGGGAGAAAATAAACTCCTAGAAAACTTAAATTTTTGCAGCATTTTTTTTTTCCAAAACTGGGTCTTAACCGAAACCAGATAAAGATGTGTGGTTGCCCATGGAGCGCAGGCCGTAGTGGCCGGCCAGCGGGCCCGCCGCGGCTGACGAGCTGTGGCACCCTAACCGAGGTGCTGGCCAGCTGGGGGTGCAGAGAGACGCCCCGGAGCACGTACACCCAGTGCCTCACACACTCAGGGCCGAATTTGGAAAAGGAAAACGCAAACGGCTGAGCTGCGTGCTTCTGTCGCTGTGTTAAAAGGTGACCTCTCCCACAGGTTTTCTGTGCCTGCCTGCAACTGCGATCCCAGCCTGCAGGTGCTGGGAAGTGTCCACACCGCTTCCGGGGGTGGGGGACTGATGCTTTTTATAGCTGGTTCGCTATAGAGTTCTGAACTCACTTTGCCGGCCTTCCTTCCACACGGTCCTTCCTTTGCAATTTTGTTAGTAAACTGGTAGCAGCATTTCACAAAAGAAGGAGAATTTTGAGGGAAGGGCTCGGAGAAACCTCGAGACTCCCGCCCCCCGCCCCCCCCACTTCCACCCCGGGCCGGACTCCCCGGCTTCCCAAGCGCTGTGGGGGGGCTGGGGGGGACACGGACAGCCCACCCCCCGTGCCGACTGCAAGGTGGGGACGCACCGAGAGGCCGCCCGGCCGCTCAGTCCAAGCAGACATAAGGCAGAATGTTCAACCGCCCGTCGTCGCCGTGCGGGTCAAGCGATATGCACTGCGTCCAGTCATACCAGTTACCCTGTGTGTCCTGACACCCGTTCACCCCCGGCCACCGGCGGGCCTGGATTCGGTCCAGGTCGTCCTGCGTGACCTCGCGGCTCAGCCCCGGGAGGCCCGCGGGCGCGCCGGGAGGCACCAGCACGTGCGGCTTCCTGGCGCCACGCCGGCCACTCTCCTCCTGCCGCAGGTACTCGGACATGAAGTGGTGCGCGCCCGGGGTCTGCGCGCCTGACGACGAGAGCAGGCTGCTCTGCCGGCTCAGGTACGACTGGATGATCTCGTTGCGCGACAGCTCCTTCCAGTTCGTCTGTTCGAAAGGGCTCTGGAGGCTGGCCTTGGCCTCGGGCTTGTCCAGCTCTGTCCTGGGCTGCTCTGTGTGCGCCGGGCTATCAGCCCGCACTGGCTCTTTCTGGGTCAGAGGTTTGATCTGTCTGGTCATGGGGTCAAAGGTGAGCTTCCGCTCTTTTAACCGGACGGGCTTGACACCTGCCTCGGCCACCTGCCCGTCCAAGTTCACCGTGTAGTCACGAGGCCGGTACCTCTTCTTCTTTTTGCTGTCCGAGCCACCAGACGAGGCAGCGTCGCTGTCCGCCTTGGAGGAGTCCGGGGAGAAGCCGGCCCGGGGCAGCAGGGGCTCAGCCGGCGGCAGCCCGGCTTTGCAGCCCTGCCCCACCGGCCGCTGGTGGCCCTCGGGCTGCTCCAGCCAGCGCACCGGGCTCTCGGCACTGGGCAGCAGCTCGAGCCGCCTCACGGGGGGCGTGGACGGCCGGGCCAGCGGAAGCGGCGACGGCACCTGTGTGGCATCGAGCGGCTGGGGCCGCGGAGAGGGGCTGGGCACGGAGCCCTTGGGTGCATACGGGCTCCGCTGCCGGACAAAGGAGCCCTCGTGCCGCGAGTTCCGGGGACTGAAAGAGCAGCGAGGCGGCCCCTTGGGGTGGGGGGGGCCCGGAGTCTCGTCCGCCCGGTCCAGCTGCTGCAGCACCGCAACCTTGGTCTGCAAACAGGGCCCGGTGGGCTTGCCAAGGCCTGGGGAGCTGGTGTGCGGCCGCACCGCATTGACCGGGATCTTGCCACCATGCTTGTCATTCTCGCCGGGCTCCAGGCGGCCACCCTCAGGGCCCGAGTGCCCGCTGCTGTCCAGGGGGCCGGGAAAGCTCTCCGGGCTCCCGCCGATCCCATTGGTGGGGAGAGGGGAGGAATTGGGTACCAGGGAGTCGTGGCTCGCTTTGGAGACCTTGGGAGGCGGCCCGGGGTGGCCGAGGTCACACTGGTCCCCCCGGCGCTTGCGGCTGCCCAGCCTGTCCAGCCGATGCCCCCGCAGCCTCTGGAGGTCAATGCGGTTCTTCAGGTCATGGATGGTCTTGGGCGCGCCGGCTGTCCCCGCCTCGGGCCGGCAGTTGTGGGCGCCGCCGTTGGCGGAGCCACCGTTGCCCGCCAGCCCGCGCAGCGCCGCCTCATTCTGGTGCGCGGGCTCGATGAGCTTCTGCCAGCTCCGCAGCAGCTTCTTGGCCCGCTTGGCCAGCTCCTCGTTCTTCGTCTTCTTGCGGACGTCGTTGATGAGCTTCCCAAGTCGAGTTTCCTGCAACCAGAAGGAGATGGTGACAGGCTTCTGGGACAGGACAGCCCCTGCAAAAAGGGAGCCGAGCCAGAAACCCAGGCCCCCGGTCTTTGGATTAATCCCACTGAGCCTTCGGTCGTGGGATTCCTGGACACGGCGCCCAGGAGGACGCGGGGTCCTTTGTGACGTCTAACTTCTCAAATCAGGTCCTCAAACTTTAGGGGCCCGGGGCCACAGGTGGCACCTCAAAAGCACCATCCCGCCGGCTCCGGACACCTGGAGACTGTGGACTATCAAGGCCAGTGCGAGAGCACCCTGCCAGGGAAGCTCTCCGGGTGAGAGCGCACTATGACAAGGGCAACAGCAGAGGGAGGGAGCCAGCCGGGTCGCTCGCCTCCCAGCCGGCCCCACAGAGCACTGGACACCCCGTGCAGGAACGAGCCTCAGGCCCGGAACTAAGGCCACCCGGTTCCCACACTACCCGGGGGAAGACTTGGCTTCTGGCACAGCACAGGCTGGGGGATTGGGGGGATGCACCCCCTTACTCAACACTCGGAAGCCCTCGGGCTGGGGAAGCCTGGGCTCCTCCCGCCCTGCCCTTCCCAGTGTCAGGTCCTGGGGCCACTCACCTCCAGTGCCTCTTTGGTAATGGGGTATTTCTCCAGGCTGGAGATGACTTCCAACACCGCCACCATGTTCCGGATCTACGAAAGAAGAGCCACTTGTCAGACTTCTGCCCTTCTCCCTGTCCCAGCCCACTCTGGCCTCTGTCCCCAAGAGCCAGTGGACTCAGCAACATCAGAGCCCTCACCCCACGCAGCCTCCTACCTGCTCCTAAGGCCAACACAGCACCCAGGGGTCACCCTCCTGTCTATCTCCTCTAGTGCCTGGTCATGCCCACCTGCCCAGGTGCCTGTCACAAAGCTGAGACTCGGGACAGTTATGAACCAGGATCTGCTCTTGCTACAGGAAATGTGCTCCACTCGGCCATCTCACGGGGGCCAGACCCTGAAGGTAAAATTTAGCAAAGAAAACCCCAAGCTGAAAAGATCCACACAGGCATGTGCGGATCCACCTCCTCCCATGGCTCTTAGCTTTCCTGCACTGGACGGACACTGTGTTTTTTTACAAACTGAAGGTGTGCGGCAACCTTGTGTCGAGCAAGTCTATTGATGCCATTTTCCCAACAGTATTTGCTCACTTTGTGTCTCTGTGTCACAGTTTGGTAATTTTCGTATTTCAGACTTTTTCATTATTATTTTATTTGTTATGGTGATCTATGATCAGTGAATTATTTATTTTGAGAGAAACAGAGACAGTGCGAGTAGGGGAAGGGCAGAGAGAGAGGGAGAGAGGGAGAATCTCAAGCAGGCTCCCAGCTGCCACCGCAGACCCAGATGTGGGGCTTGAACTCATGAAACCGCAAGATCATGACCTGAGCTGAAACCAAGAGGCGGACGCTTAACCAACTGAGCCACCCAGGCGCCCCTGTGATCAATGATTCTTGATGTTACTGCTGTACTTGTTTTGGGGTGCCACAGGGTGACACTGTGTGTGTTCTGCCTGCTCGCTGGCCAGCCCTTCCCTATCCCTCTCTTCTCCTCGGGCCTCCCTGCTTCCCAAGACAGTGTTGAAATTAAGCCAACTGATAATCCTACACTGGCCTCTAAGTGTTCAAGTGAGAGAGAGAGAGTAGCACATCTCTCACTTTAAATCAAAAGCTAGAAACGATTACACTAGAGGGGAAGGCGTGCCGGAAACTGAAGACAGTCTGGAAGCTACTAGGCCTCTTGCGTCAGTTAGCCTGGTTGTGAAGGCAGAAGTTCTTGAAGGAAATTAAAGTGCTCCTTCAGTGAACAAACCGGAGCGATAAGAAGGCAAAGCTGTCTTACTGCTGATGTGGAGACAGTCTGAGGTCTGGATAGAAGATCAAACCACAACAACGGTCCCTGAAGCCGAAGCCTGGTACACAGCAAGGCCCTAACTCTGTAATTCTATACAGGCTGCGAGGGGTGAGGAAGCTCCAAAGTGGCAGCAGGCAGAGGTCGGGTCATGAGGTTTAAGGAAAGACACTGTCTCCCCTAAGGCAGCAGCGCAAGGTGAGGCAGTGGGTCCAGGCGCAGAACTGCAGCAAGTGAACCTTCTGGCTGAGATCATTCACGAAGGTGGTTACAGTCTAAACAAGACTTTTTTTTTCTTTAAACATTTTTAGAAGTTTATTTATTCTGAGCACGACTGAGGGAGGGTCAGGGAGAGCGAGGGGGAGAGAGAATCAGAAGCAGGCTCTGCGCGCTGTCAGTGTGGAGCCTGATGTGAGCTCAGTCTCATGAACTGTAATATCATGACCTAAGCCGAAATCAAGAATCCACCAGAACCGACCAAGTTAAATCACACATTCAGGTGCCCCAAAGCAACAGATTTTCAGTACAGACCAAACAGCCTTCTATTGGCAGCAGATGCCATCCAGGACTTTCAGAGCTAAAGAGCAGAAGTCAGTGCCCGGCTTCAAAGGACAGGCGGACTCTTGTTGGGGGCTAATTGAGCCAGTGACTAAGCGGAAGCCAGTACCCTTCTACCATCTGGAAAACCCCAGGGCCCTGAAGAGTAACGCTAAATCGACTCTGTTTGTGCTCTAGAAATGAAACAACAAAGCCTGGATGACAGCACATCTGCTTACAAATGGTTTACAGACTATCTTAAGC